GGAATTTTGTGAACAGCACTTTCTTCATATACACAGGAGGCAAGGACGGCAGATATGTAGTGGAAATACCAATTAAGAGGAAGGACTTAGCCCTTTAGGCGAATCGAGAGAAAACGCTAGCAAAAGACTGATTATCTTAACCGCTTCACTCGTAATCCCGCAATGAAACTTATCGAGATTTCATTAAGGAATATAAATTAGGCCATCCGAAGAAATTGAGAGGGATGCTCTAGTTTCTATTATCTTCCTCACCATGGGGTTTTCAGGCCGAGAACCTAGCACTAAACTTAGGGTAGTGTTCGATGCCACTGCTCCTACGACTACTGGAATTTCGTTAAACAATATTCTACAGAATGGAGGGTTAGTTCAAGATGAACTATTTAACATTTGCAGATCTCGAAAGTATAAAATTGCCTTCACAGCAGACACTGTAAAAATGTATCATCAGATTTTGATTAAAGAACATCAAAAAGATTTATTATGCATTTTATGGAAGAGTAGTGAAGAAGAAGCAGTTAAGGTCTATAGACTGAAGACTATAACTTATGGTACTTCCAACGCACCATATCTGGCAACACGCACACTTAACCAATTAGCAGAGTATGAGAGAAACAACTTTTCGTTAGGAGCGCAAATAGTAAAAAGGGATTTTTTACGTCGATGACGTACTCACAGGAGCCCATACCTCTCCAGGCTAAGATTACCTCGAAATTGATTAACCTATTATCACGTGGGGAATGCGTCGCACAGATGGTGTCTAATCATCCTGATCTTTTGGCAGTTTCCGGACGGACAAAGAATATTCTTTCAGTTTCGAGACGATCATAGCATCAAAACTTTCGGTTATGGAATCCAGTAGATTGTTTTTTTAAAATAACGATCCAAGAAACCAACTACTTACACAAAGAGAACAGTGTTGTCATACATTGATTGCATTTATGATCCATTAGAACTGATTGGTCCAGGGATAACAAATGCAAAACTCTTCATCCAAGGAATTTGGTTACTAAGCTTGATTGGAACGATCCGCTACCCGAGAAGGTAATTAAGCAACTTTTCATGATTCCATGAAATTTATCAACAATTTATAAGTGAGCAGATATGTTTCACAGGCCAATTTTCTGATATAGAAATTCATGGATTTTCGATGCTCAGAACACAAGTCGCCATCTATTACCTTTGAGAAGTGACATAATTTATCTCACATTTGCTTTGCAGCAAGTCAGAGTAGCTCCACTAAACCGTTGACAGTACCTCGACTGACTCTGCCAGCTGTACGGCTGCCAGCTGTTGTAAGTTGTAAATCTGAAGCGTGTCCTATCTCAGTGATATTATTCAGATCATCTATAGACAGCAGGACTTTAGCATATAAATATATGAATAGCCATCTTTTTTCCGTACTTTGTTCGAAAAAGATTTTTTGTGCGTTTTAAATTATATTTTGTAGATTTAAAATGTTGGTATCGGGTTTCCTTTTCCAAATGGTTAGAAATAATGTTTATCTTAAGTACTACTTTTGTAAAATTTGAGGAATTTACTTTGTATGAGGCAGACATTAGGAGTAGTTTAAATCTTTTTGTTGTATTCTTGCGTTTATGTTATCTAGAAATGAGTGCAGGGTAATGTAACTGGCTTCTCTATTATCGCTTAAACAGTTACCACTTGTGTTTTGAAAGTAATGAAAAGTATTTAAAATTTTTCCTTCCATAGTCTAGAAAAAATTCTTTTATGAGGGGAGGAGTTGTGATAAGTTCCCATAAAGGAAGTAGAAACTGAAGATTAATATGGACAATTATGTCTCGACAGCAAAAAAAGATGAATATTGTTATTATTTAACTTCCGAATACGTTTCCAATAGTTGTTAAGTTGAATTAATTGTTTTTAAAAATAATATTGTTGCATTGTTCAAACGCAGGTTCTAGCGCCACGTATTGTTCTCGCACGTAAAATGTAGAGATATTTGAATGCTTTGGAAAAAAAAAAAAAAAGATAGTTTTTTCTCTTGTTGATCTGTACGTCGCTGTTTTTTTTTTTTCGGGGGGGGGGCGTTTAATAAAATTTTTATGCTGAGTTCCTTTCAACCTGGAGTCACAATCCAGGGTTTACATAGCGGTTCCAGCCAATACACCACAACTTTTATCTCGGGTGCGTCAGAGTGTTGCCATTCGATAAAATGAAAGATATTTATTAGTCCAAAAGGGCAAATTTCCCAGAAGGACTATTAATTTCGTTTTGGTACTTTGCGTTGATTCCATAAACGCGAATCACTTTGAAATTGTTGCCACAATATTACATCCTGAATTATATTTAAGAATTAATACTGATATCTCACAATGTTCTCCAGTATGATAAACCAGTATCGAGCCATGAATTTGAATAACGTAATCTTTCATGACTATGGCACTGGTAGCCCGATTTGGAATTTGTTTATATCGCTTTCATATTTGTAAACTTTAACGAATTTTTAATTAACAAACTCAAGGACTTCAAAGCGAGCAATGGCAACGTTGCATACCGAAAAAACATTGTTATCTCCAGCGCACGAGACTATGTATCCGAAATTCTAAAGATATGCCCATTTAAAAATTATTTTGCGATATTGCTGTTAAAATGAATTTTATGATTTAAATGCGAAGAACATGATATTTAATAAACAAAGGTAACGCACAAAACGTTAAAAAAACGCATCTTTGGACGTAATTTAAAAATCTGAAACATTTCGGATTTTAATTTTTTTTTTTTTTTTTACTTTCAGTTTTAATCAATCCGAACGTTTAGTATTTTGAAGTTAAAAGAAGCAGCTCGTTGTATTCCGTTCCATATAACGAGAGTCAGGTGCAATTATCAGTTAGGTGGTTATGGAAGAAAAAACTAACATTCGCCGAAAAAGGGCGAATTTCCTTCTTCTGGGCTGCTAGAGAAGGTGTCTTCTGAGATATTTATACTCTGTAGTACTATACACTCAACAGAAGGAAGTAATTCAAAACTTATCATTGTTTTTAAACTTTAATTATAAAATACGTACATATAAAATGAAACGGACGCGTACTTTGCAATTTTGTTTGCATTTCAATCATTTGCGAATGGTCAGTTCATAGTTCGTTCAAAGGAGTTTTCAATTCACTTCAATACATGGCTAGACCAGTAATAATTAACAGTGGAATGGCCATCAAAAACATTAAAATTTTTCTTTATGTTTAGTGACTGCAAAATGCCGCCTTCAAATGATACTAATGGTTATAAAAGAACAAAACTGCATTAAATTTGTGTATTGAGGGACTAGAGGGATATGCGCTGATTTATGTAAATATACATGCGTCATTAAAAAGAAATGTCAAGGATGTCTCCCGAATTTAGACTTAATAGACTTAAAGTACGCTGAACCGTAAGTGTTAACATTATGTTTTCGAGAACTGGCAAGTTGAATTTGCGACATGATGTAATGTTCTTTATAAACGTAATGTATATAATGTTCTTTATAAATGCAATGCATGTAATGTTCTTTATAAAGCAAAGAAGCGTCGGCTATTTCCTTAAGGTCTTTATTTTGCACTTTTTCCTATGTGGAGGAGGTGTAAAGCTGGCTGGATTATCATTTTATACAATATTATTTTATTATGAATTTTAATAAAAAAATTCGTCTGTTTAAAAACAGTGTCTTACTGCTGCCCGAAATAAAATATTTTTGCCTTCCATGCGCCAGCATGTTGCCATTCAGTAAAGCGCAAGATATTTAATTTTCAAACTTAATATATCTGTTATGAGTTAAAAAAACAAAACAACTTAAAAGCAAAAAACGCTGTTGTTGGGAATTTTTTTTTAGCTCAAAGCGCCAATTTGCCCAGAAGGGCTCTTAATTTCGTTTTGGCAGTTTGCATTGATTCTCTATAAACGACGCCACCAAATATTACAGCCAAATATTACACCAAATATATTATATATATATTATATTATTCTTATTATATTTAAGAAATTAAATGAAGAATCTGATAAATATGCATGTTTCTCGCAAGTATAAACAGCGGTACTAGAGGCATCAAATTGAATACATCGTCTCCCCGACATGGGCATCTGAACGCCCAATTTGAATGTGTTTTAACTTTTCATATTTGTAAAGCATTTATGAGTTTTTGATTAAGAAACTCAACGATTTCAAAGTGAGCAATGGCAACACTGTACGGGCAGCGCGCGAGACTGTCTATCGGAAATTCTAAAGATATACTATTTTAAATATTTTGTGATATTGCTGTTGAATTGAATTTTATGATTAAGTGCAAAGAACACGATATTTATTAAATAAAGTTAACACACAAAAGGTTAAAAAAACGCCCCTTTGTGCGTAACATAAAATCTGAGAGCCATTTTTTTAATATTTTCTTTTTAGTCTGATTAAACTAAATCAGAAGATGCCTAATTAGAAATATTATTTTTTTATGAAAATATTATACATTTTAAAAAAATCATTATATTTTTTCTTTTTTATGATAACAGTTAAGGTACCTAGTAATCATAAATAACTCATGGAACTCGTAATTAGAGATAGGATTTGTCTCCCTCTTTTCAGGAATACTGTTATTCAGATAACTATTAGACATAGTTTCCTGTTGTGGTATTAAAAATAAAATTTGAAGGAAATGCAGTGGCAACATAATTTAGTATTTTCATGTAATTGTTAAGATTTGCAAAATGGCAAAATCAATTCAAAGTTGTTATCATTTGGCGTTCTATTTACTACTTTACTTTTTAAAATCTGTTATATTTTTATTTTAAAATGTGTAATATGTATAGAATATGCATGGAAGATTTGTAGAATATCAATTGACTGTTTAAAGGATGCCTAAGAATTAGTACCCCTTTTAGTAATAAAACTATGGATATTTTTTTTTCCCTTCAAAATTCAAAAATACTTTTTCATTCTTAAGTTTCTCCCAACATCTCTAGAACTAATACCAGTTCCATATCCACGACAAATTCTTTCACAAAATTTTTCATCTTCACAGGAAAGCCCACCACATCCCTTCCATTTCGGTTACGACGTCCTGGATGAGCACGGCAATAAGCAGCAGCGCCAAGAGTTGGGTGATCAGAACGGCCACGTGAAAGGCAGCTATGGCTACACCGATGCCCATGGCGTGTACAGGCATGTTGACTATGTGGCCGACCATTCTGGCTTCAGGGCCATAGTACAGACCAACGAACCAGGTGTTTCCAACGAAGACCCGGCCGACGTAAAGCTGACTGCCAAGCCACCACCTCAGCACGTTCTTGAGCAACAATACTCGAAAGTAGAAGCAGGATACTCAGAACCGAAACTGTATCTGAAATCGGTTCCCAAGCCCGTTTATCGTGAAACGTCTTACGCATCCGGTTCGTCTTTGGTTCCAGTTATAATTTCACCATAGAGAGGAGCCTTGGATGACACGTCGGAAAATAATATTGTAAATTAACATGTTGTTGCTTCTATGATGTTTTAATAATAAAAAAAGGTTATTCTTGTTAATAGAAGTTTTCCATGCTAGTATAGAAATCACAACACCCTGCAGTTTCTCCAGGTCAGGCATAAAAGTACGGAGCATTCATTTGACAAACTGTTCAGCTCAACTGTCAATAGCATTTAGGGCTCCTGTTGCTACATAGTTGGGGCTTGTTTCAAATCCTTGAGAAGGCTTTGATAAGTGTATAGTGTCTGCGTGGCATGGAGATACTAAGATACTAAAAATACTGGCGAGCCAAAAGTTCTCTCGAGATGTTTCGCGGCAGGGAAACAAGGGTGGTAGACCTTGGAATCTTTCCTCGAGGTGGTGGTTCTCTATTTATTTTGTTTGCATGTGTGTGTATTCATTGTTTTTTGTCAAGCTGTTTTGTACCTTAGAATAATATGTCTTGATCTGTGCACAGAACATACTGTGTAATATTAGTTGTTGACCACGCTTTAGGCAACTTTTATGCATGTCTGATCTGTCTTTCTGGTCTTTGGTCGAGCTTTTGTATTTAGGAGAATCTGGAATTACACAGCTGGTGGAGTAGCATTAGCTGTATACTCAGATGTCATATGCTGCTCTGCCAACGAAACAAACGGGGCGTTCTAGATCAAAATTGAGACAAAACTTCCTTATTCTCGCAGGTGTAAAATTGGTCAACTCCTATGGTGCACCTTGAGCAACGTTCTCAGTTACAAGACGTCTGAATGACCGACGGGAAAATTTGGAGAACATCAATAACATCTTGAGCAAAGTGAAAAAGGAGTGCCAGACTAGAATTGTGAAACGGCGATGCAAACTGCCCATGGCGGAATACAGAATGTAACTTAATTATAGGACTGTATGTAACTTAATTTTAGAAGAGGAAGCCTCTCAGTGTTATCAGAACTCAACTTTCTAGGGAATTTTGGATCTCTTGCAAGAAGCGCAATGCTTTTCTAAACAGCACCATAAAGATTTAAAAAAAAAAAAAAAAAAAAAAAAAAAAAAAAAGGTAGCATTGGGAAGGCATTTGTAAGAATGTAAGTAACTATGGTAATACCTGCTTGATACTAAAATGCCTCTGCAAAGTGAATGAAGTTTCACACAGCACATTAGGATAGCCTGACGAAAAAAATTAGGATTATGGAACAGCAGTTTGACATGTTTGCTTTGCATTATGCCAAAAGAGTCAATAGCAAATTCTTGCCCTTAGATTTCAGTGAGGATGGCTGCATTAGCAGATCTTCTCCGGTTTGAATTCTGATAAAGTCACCATAAACATTAAAAATTCAGTGCCAGTACAGGACAAGTTCGCAAGAACTGCTATGAGAGAGTTAACTGTTAATAGCAAGCAAATGTAATTGGAACCACGTAACAATTCATGGGTTTCGGGGCAAGTCCCAGAACATTGGCAACTGTGATTCCCTTTCTAGGCAATCACAGTTGCCTGAAGGCTACAGTTCCGTGGTGTCAGCATAGAAGCCAATTTTCTTGACGCAAATTATAGCCTAAAGTATGAAAAATTACTGTTGGATAGGTTGCTACCAAATATTCAGAGAAGTGAGCGACTCTCAGGGTTACACTACGGGTCCTTCTCGAATAGAATCTACTTGGTTTCGCTAAACAGAATGTTTAACAATATTCTGCACCACAAGAGGTAAAACAAAGTTATTCAACTGGTAGCCCTTGATCTCAAAGCGGCGTTCAACTCGGTATGGCACGACAATCTGCTTTATAAAATCATACTATTCGGAATTAAAGGGAACAGTATCTGAAAGTTTATAAACTTGTTAAATCAAAGGACAGTCAGAGTAAAGTGGAGCAGGGTACTCTTGAATAATTATGAATCAACCTGCAGAGTTCCGCAGGGTGTTATATTATCCCTAGTACTTTTTACTATCTTTACATTTATGAACTTATGGCGGTCGACGCTATTTTACGTATGCAGATGAGAATTTTCTCTACTGTGCAGACAACTCGTTCTCTAAAGCTGCGTTCAGACGGCGGCGTAAAGGGCATAACATAAAGGAGTTCCGTTCACACTAGCGAGAACGGTGTAAGGCGTGGCCAGTGAGAGAAGCTAAATTTGCGCATGCGTGGATGTCTACAACTTTCCCGCGCTGTTCTCCTGCTCGATTGCGTTCGCTCTGCTTGTTTTGTAGCAGCGAAATCTTCTGTAGAACGCCGCTTCGTTTTAACTTCGCTCTGATTATCCCAAACTTGGCGTAAAGTTGACAACTTTGAACCCTATGCCACGAGCCCTAAACCAGATTTTTGTGACGTTACAGACTGGTTGCCTTGGTAACGAAGCTCTGCTTTAACCACTTATGCCCTTTACGCCCCCGTCTGAACGAAGCTTAAAGTGCAAATTACAGCATGCCTTCATCAAAGTGTAGATTTGGGCAAAAGACTGGAGTTTATGTAAATTCATCATTATCGTAAGGAGACAGAGTAAAAAAGTATGTGTTTTGAAGTTAAAACCATCAGCATCTCGGTAGGAAAAAAAGTTAAAATTTTAGGAATGCGGTTCGACAGCAAGTTGAGGTGGAATGTTTATGTAAACAAATTATCCCCAGGTAGGAAAGAATGTTATACAGTACAAAGTCCGAGTTTGTCGGGACATCGGCGATTCCGGCTTTAGGATTTTTCCGGATATTAGATCATCAATTTAACGCTTGTAGAATGGAATGTAGAATTTATAAAATTAAAAATATAATATCGTGACTCATGAAATAATAAAGCATTTATGATCTAAAGGGTAACAAAATTTACAAAAAGAAACGCATAATATTGTTACGATTTTGTATTTAGTTGGCTGTTTTTAGTAGAATTGTAGTTAAAATTGTTATATTTCCCTCTCCAATGCAGCACGTGACGAATTTTAAGAGAAAGCTACGACGGAAAAATAAAAATACAAGAGCACGTGCATTTAGTATTTAAATAAAAGTTTATCTCCACAATTGATATTTAATTTGAATAAACGCAATTCACTACAATGTTAACTGTAATCGCAATTCTACGCTTTTTACTTTCCAAAAATTGCTAGAACTCTCTAGTGCGACCGATTTAAAAAAGCTATAAAAGCCAGAGAGAGAACATCTCAGCTCAGTCGATGTTTAGATAACTATTGTTGTTTATTATATCGAATTCGCGGTGAGATCCAATTAGCTTTCTCTGCGCATTTCACAGCGTTCTATTTAATGTTTTAGTAGTTTAAAATATAGCTACTCATTATATTGCGGGATACAACAATATTGTACGAATATCTTTCAGAAAAAATCCAACGTTTTGTTATTTTTTTGTGATAAGAATTATAAGTATTTCTCCAGTCTTCTTAGCATGCCTTCGTAGTGGCAGTGGTCTGCACGCTAGGCGCGTATTCCAGAGGTCCGTGGTTCGATTCCCGGAGAAGGCGTTGCTCATTTTTCAATCTCTCCTTCAGTCAAAAATACCTAATGTCTCTACAGAATAAATTTTATTACTTTTTTTTATCGGACTTGTGCATTCAATCTATTACGAACCCGTACGCATGCAAAAATATTTATTTGTTTACTTTATTAAACATTTCTTATTTAATTTCTTTTCTCTAAAGTTGCTTTTTTGTGCTAATATTTTCTCTTTAATTTTCTAGACGGACACAATTTCTTATTAAGTTATAAAGTTCAATTGTTCAAGTCCTGTAATTGCTGTGTCAAGAATTCTGACTAATTTGTCAATCGAAATTTTTTCGTTTTCAATAACTTCTCTGTCACTTTCTGCATTATCGGTAGCGGTATTTTCGCGATTTAGAACCATACTACAGATTTCGCCGTCCGGTGATTGATTGATAATTGGGATAGTGTCATCGCAATGAAAACGTTGTGTTATATCATCTTCATTTATTACCGCTTCTCCATACTCTTTAAAAATTCTATTAATTCGAAAATTTAACCTCTTTGGTTTGCGATATCCGAAAACCTACACATTCGCGGTCGTCAAATTCATCAACCTCACCATGAAATATAGTACTTGGCCATCAATTATGCCAAGCATTTTAAAAGTATCTGGAGACACATCCTCCCACGATCTTGCGCAGTTCCACAAAGCAGATTTTACGCTAAAATATTAACAAAAATCTTGAATAGTCTTGTCATTATTCAAGAAATTTAATATGCATTTTAAAAATTCTACTTTATATTTCCATTTCAGGGCGCGCACTATTCCGATATCCATTGGTTGAATGATAGACGTACAATTTGGAGAAAAGAATAATACGGATACGTTATGTTTCACTAAAACTTTAAGTGAAGTATAAGCCGAACTGTTGTCTTCAATCAGAACAATTTTTGCGTCATCAATAAAACAACCGAATTCCGCCGAACCTCGAGTAGGAAATGATTTTCAAATCAATCATTCATTAACACTTGTGCCATTCCTGTTCTTTTATTTGCACGATATATAACGGGAAACATTTTACTTGTTTAGATGCTCAAGGTTGCGTATTTTTTCCGATTACGAAAAGTTTGCACTTGTGCGTTCCTGCAGCATTTGCGCACGCTAAAATTGTTAGTCTCGCTTTGGAATCTTTGACACCAGTTGGAGCCCTTTCTGAGAGTTGCCAAGTATGTGGTATATATTGCAGAAAAGACCAGTTTC